CAGTTAGCTGTGGCGCCTCCATTTCAGAGCGCGCACCTATATGTGTCGCGAGAATCAAGCGACGACGAGTATACTCGTCGAACACAATGTAAGTGTCGCTGTTAAAATATTGGATAAAAAAGACGGTTTTATTTGATAAAATTAACAATTTTATCACTAATATTTACTTATTCACTTGACGTTAACATATTCCATATACATAATAAACGAAAAACCCAGGGATAATCGAATACTTATAAAAGTTAAAAATTCAAATTGCTGTTGCAGAGAGAGTGGTATTTAGCAAAGCAAGGAACAATATATAATGGCACCTTGCACGTCGAACACCAGTACCGTGATTCTTTTCTAATTTTATTTTTATAACAATGTAAACAACTTCGTGCAGGATTGGCCTCAAAATATTCTGAACATCTTGAAATTTGAGAATATGTTTTTGTTTTCCTTAAAATTACAATTTAAATAGCCAATGGTTACTCCTCTTACGCACGATGAGTATACTCGTCGTGTCACAAAATATTACCATTTCTCCATGACGAGTATACTCGTCAAACACAGCCAACTGGTTAAATACTTCGGCGAATCAGTGTAGGCGACAGAAGCGAAGAAATGCTAGACAGGAACGCAAGAGGATTTTGGGAGCGGTTTCCGATCCGATCGATCGGGACCGGTTTCGCAGTGAGTGAGACATCGCAATCTTCTCGGTGAAACCGAATACGTACGTTAAAACACGAACAACAAACACATGTCGCATGATACGTTATCGAGATACAGTACACAAAGTGGGCGACGCGACGGTAATGCAGAAAATCAAGTTCAGATGAACCTACGGCTACGAATCGTGGGATGAAGAGATGCTACGATGAATCGAGTAGTATTTTGAAAGTAGTATAATAGGCCTGCAGCAGAAATTCTGTTGCAATTGTTCCAATTCGTGTTAGGCATTCTACTGTGCTTCGTTTAAGACATCTGTCCCCATTTTCGATCATGCTCTTCCCACTGCCTAGAAAGTGGGAGCAGGAAATGGCAGTGGGGACAGTGACCTTGGACGGTCGGTAGATTTCGTATTTCATTTTAGTCGGTTAGTTTTCCCAGTGAGAAGTTGGAAAAGTCAGAAATGTTTGGATGAAAAGATGCGGTTGCAGTACAGTAATGTCTCCCTAATTGACGCTCAGATTATGCAGAAAAGTGGACAATTTGGGAAGAGGAGACACGATTATTCGAGTCTTGCAGCTCCTTACGCACGACGAGTATACTCGTCGTGTCACAAAGTATTGCCATTTCTCCATGACGAGTATACTCGTCAAACACAGCTAACTGGTTAAAGATGCTATTACATCCTTTGCAGCTCGTTAACGTTCACACGCGAAGAGCTAAATCATCGCGCAACACTCGCTTCGTACAAATGTTGCAGACAATTCTCATTTCGCATAAAGATCCGCAGTCGACTTGTCGCATCACTTCTGATGAACAATTGCCCAAAAAAGCAGTTCCACGTTTCAGTTTCGAACATTAGCATCTCGACGCAACGCGAAACTTTTCCGAACGCTTTAGATCAGCGGCGTAAGATTGGAACATTGAAACGCTTAACAACGTTGCATCCTTTTCCTCGTCGTTCAATTACGAGTATGACTAAATCAACTGTGCTTCTTGTCTCCTCGGCTGCGTCACTCGGCGAACAATCATCGGTGGCGTCGATTAAGCGAACACGATTTCCTCTTGTCGAAGGCCGATCGAGCGAGTGTTTCCGCCGATTCGACACAGGAATCGGCGCATCCTCGGCGCATCCGCGGCGCACGTGAGACAGTGTTCCTCGAAAAAAGAGAAGCGAGTAGGAGCGAGCGTTCGCGTGAGATCGAGACCCCGGCGCACTCTAATAATTCTTTACGGACGCGAAGACGTCGTATCGCGATTTCACGGCCGCTACTCGCCCGATCGTTTCTTTTCCACGAGAAATAAAACGGTCGCTGCCGTGGGTACGGCCGCCGGCAGCCAGTCGCATCGGGACCGTATCGGGCCCCGATACTGTTAACTCTTCCCGCGAAATCCGCGCGATCAACCGACACATCCTAGGCCGTTCTCCTTCGATAACGACCCGAGCTTCTCGCGGCTCGTTGTTGTCGGCTGCTCGGATTGTCTTTCGGGTACCGTACTCCGCCGAGCCGGAGGGAAGTTCGTTCGATGTTGCTGCGATTTGTTCCGGCGATTCGCAGAAACGCGCGTTTCGAGTTCCGTTCGATGCATGAACGATAGATAGTCTGTTAGAAGGCGTTCGAACGTTCTCGGCCGAACACGACGCTTCGACGTTCTTAATGTTAACCTGTTGCCGTACTTTGACGAGTCCGACTCGTCGTAAAAATTTCTAGTAATAACTTGTATCGAGCATAGATGTTATATACTTTGTCCTTTAAAATTGGAATAAAATTGTAATCTCTTGTCACCAATATTTAAGTATTCAAGTAAATTTAAGTACACGATAAGCATCAATTTTCTTTCCCTTCTAAGAAGAAATTCTAATCGCAGCAACTTCGAAGAAAATGCTATATCAACGGGTTAATCCAGTACTGCATTACTTCCTTGCTGCAGTTAAAATACACCGATTCCGTGCGTTAACGATGAAAGTGTGCACGTAAAACGCGTGCAGAAAATTTTCATCTCGCATCGAGATCTTGTTCATTTTGTGTCCACGCTTAGCTTAAGCGTCGACGATAGAAAGGAAATCACAAAGAAATCACAATTTACGAATCGCAAATAAATTTAAAAGTAATGACAATTGTATTTAATAAATTCCGGCAAGGCGTCGCGGCATAAAATAGATCCTTCTTTATCGTGGATTTACCGTGAGTTACATTTGCACGAACTACTTTCGCGTTTCTTTCTTAATCAACGCGTTCTTCCGGGTCAGGAAATTCGTGTGCACGAGAAACGATGCTAGAACGCGCGCATCGAAGGAACAGGAGTATGCTTGTGGAAGCGGAAAGGACGGAAATACGGAAAAATGATGAGAATGTAGATTGGGAGAAAATCATAACGAGGATCGGAGCTCGTTTGGCAAAGAATCCAGTCCCCGCAGC